CGTTCCCGCCCCCCACCAGCTTCTTACGAGCGACACCCAAACATTATCTCTTTCCCCCTTTTAAAGCGCCGACAGAAGGCTGAGGGAAAATTTTAAAATAATTCAAATAAAGAATTAAATTTGATTTACATGTTATTTTCGTGCACTTATGATATTATGTTGTTTATATTGTTACTTAGTATAGGTCTACTGCAATTACAACTTTTTTTGTACTAATACTATGATAGATACTATACATGATGTTCTATCATGTTTGATTTTTTTTTTTTTGACTATATGTCTATTATTTTTTTATTGAAAACTGCAGTAAATTTTAAGTAGCCTACCAAGCTGTGGTTGCTCACCCTTGCTTTACTCGCATGTGCTCTTTCAAGAGGGTAAGGCTCGAGTTGAGTAGAGACTTTTGCATTATTTGTGAGAGTCTGATTTTAGGTATGTCAATATCTTAAATCTTTATTTTTAACAATCGCGGTGATATTTATTTTTATTTTTTTATGATAGAGATTAAATCATGATTGTTGTATATTTATATGATCTGGATAAATTCTGCGTATGTTTATTTTATAATATTTGATAATATTAGTGGTTCTGCGTATGAAACTTGAAGAGAAAAATAGGTATATAAGATTCCTTCCAAATAAATTTTGGGTAATAATTTATCTGTTATGACCTTGACATGAGGTGACTCGCCTCAATATGATAGGTTACATAAAGTTGAATTATCACAATTAATCACAATTCGCATTTCCCCATCGTAAATTAAACACTGGTTGGGATTCATCATAAAATCATGAGTCAGACAATTCGAAACATTGATTAGAATATATCTTGCATTTCAAACTCATAATACTCTAGCTAAGTCAAAGAATAGGATCGACAGGTACATCCTTCGTCACAATGCATCATAGGGGTCTTGTGTTGAGTTGGTACAGCTACCAATCTTGTCAATATTGGTAGTCAATTCCTCCCATCTTCAGATTCCTAAAATATTATTGCCTCTCTGCATTGAATCAGAGCGGCACTATAGTGAGGTCATCCATCCATTGTTTGATATTAAACTGAGCAACCCATTGGGTTGTCAAGCTCTAATAATCGTCGTTGATCGGCAGTCATTTTCTTTCTTCCTCGATTGCACGCTAACCTTCTTTGACACTACTTACAAAATACTACCCAAATAAAAAGTTAGCGTAAGAAATGCAAGAGAAGCAGAAGCAAAAAATCAGACGATCCTCTTAAAATAATAATTGATAAGAAAGTATATCAAAAACTAACTAGCTAAATGCCAACACCAACAGCTAAATAACCTCCTTCCTCGGGCCCAGCGTGTGTGATGCACTAATGGCAAGATAAACAAAACTGCAAAAAGGATGTAAAACTAAAAAACATAAAGTTAGCTATAACAATAGAAACACTACAATAAATAGGTGGAGAGTAGTCCTCAGAAGAGGTGGATTTGCATTATGGAGTGCTAAAAAGAGGCAGCTTTGCATTACTTCCATGGCTTCAAGAATCCATAGGAATGCATGCAAAGTAACTTAACCATCTCTACAAAAGAAGTGATGATTTTGTTTCTCGCAACAGAGCATAGCATAGCAAAATATTACTATATTAAGCCAGTAATCAGAAATTTAAATCCAAAATGCTTAATGATATCCCATGGGTGTATTAGCCCACAACATGCAACCAATACTAAAATAAAAATCTTAACAGAAAGATCTACAACAAGCACCAATTTTTGTCTTAGACAAAAAAAAATGGCTTTCACAAATTCAAATCCGAATGTTTCACAAAGATGAAGACTGCCTGCAACCTTCATCTCTACATCTAAGCAACCTAAGAGATTAAGCAAAAATAACTATCGATGAACTTGCAAACAAATCCGATAAGAAGTTCACAACTGATTGCAGCTACAGACTCCTCTCTAATAACCCCATTATCAACTTAGCAACTCAACAAAGAAGGCCACAACACAATGAATAGTTAGTTGTTCCAATTCTAAATGGTTCAATTGTAGAAGAAAGCATGAAAATATAACTGGGAAAGGTACGCTTACAGCTGCTATATAATATCATGATATTAATACAGATTAGTAGTTTAGGTTGACATCTAGTAGTTGCCTAGATTCAGTGATGCCAATAACAATAAATCAAACAAATAGAATTTGTAGGAAAAATTGGATCAAATATATAGCATTTGACCAACAGCATTGCTATCTTCATCAATTAGAATTGTAAATAAAGCTGAATTCTAAAATCAATAACGCAGCCACAAAAAATTTACCTCAATATCACTGAGATGATTTGTGAGATAAAGTTCCCTGCGTAAATTGTGAGGTTGTCGTCCTGCTGGAGTCTCCTCTGGGATTACATACCAACGACACTTTAGCCAGTAGGTGCCATCCGGTTCTTTCCACAAACTGTCATTACCATCACAAAGTTATCCATGACACACACAAATCTTTCAATAAAACACACACACACACACATAAGGCGTTATATTTAGCCACAAGTTCATCAACGGCAGCGAAAGTTCTCCTAAATAAATAAAGTAATCCGAAATGTCATATGACTGATATCAATGATATTAACAGACAGGTTTGGTGTCTTGCCTTTCAATTCTTGCAGCCCATAAATCGCTAGAGAGCAGCTTCTCCCTTGCAGTCCTTCTCAGTTTCTTCCCATCTGGTGGCCTCGGCAACTTCACCTTTTTCCCCAGCTTCCTCGCCTGGCAAAACTCACAAATCCAGTCCCCTTCGGGAACTTCCAGAAGAGGCGGCCTCAGGCACCGAAGATGAAACCCACCCAAACAATTGTCACACTCGATCATTAAAGACGAACCAATCTCAAAGCAGATCCGGCACTCCTCCGCCTCGGGATCATCCTCATCAGATTCTGCATCATCCCTCCTCTTAACATACACATCGTCCCCAACTCCAAACCCTCCACCGTCGTAAACCAATTTCTTGTAGTACGACCGCCTCTTGGAGATTCTACTCTTCTTCCCTGACTCAGGCTGATGAGGTGTATCCGGAGCGACGGTACAGCGCTTCGACGGAGTCCTCTCAGGTTGAAGCAGCGATCGCCTCGATTTCTTGGCGGTTCCAATCTTATCACCATTATATTCACAATTGGGCTTGCAGTCCTCAGATGTCGGCGTTTGAGGAGAGATAGCAAGACGAAGAGAACGACGAGGGGTGGTTGATCCAGGAGTCCGAACTACAGAGGGTGGTGTATTTATCGATGACTTCGTCTTCAACTTGTGAGGAGTGCGATTCATCCCGCCGCCCGCACTGGAATACAATATGGGCCGGGTTTGATATCTTTAGCAAACAATTTCGGTCGATGGAAAGCATACCAGTCGATCGCTTCGCCTATAAGGGCTCGTCTCCACTCCCTCCCTCCTTCCTAGTGAGCTCGCCCGAGCGGAAGGCGGAGAGACGAGGGTTTCGTACTCCACCGCCCGCAATCTACCAGAAACGGGAGGAAGAGAGAGAAGGCGGGCTTCTGTTTAAAAGTAGTATTAATTAATTAATTTTTTTAAGTAAATTAATATCATTTAAAATTGAGTTTGATCAAATAGAACTTTATATTGTTTATTTTATTTATAATTTTTAATAAATAAATAAGTATATAATTATGATTTCCTAATTAAATTTTAATCGTCATCAATTTTTCTTAGTTGTATCCTCCTGGCGGCCAAATAGAGGAAGGGCGGAGAGCGGGAAAATCTTGGCAATCTTGCTGCAATGACGGTAGTCAAATTATTAATACCTTTGCCCTATCCGCCGTTGATATGTCCTTTTAAGCATTTTTGACGGTTTGATTGATGATACATGCGTAAATTTAGAAAGGCCGCTGAAAGGAATGTATGGAGTCGAACGTTGGAGTATAAAAACTGTTATATTACATATCTTACACCTAAATTTTATTTTTTACATTTTTATTTATCCAATATCACTATTTTAATTTTTCAAAATTAAAATAATTACTTATATACAGATCAATTGTCAGATGTGTAAAAATTAAAGTTTAGATTTTATATATGTAAATACAAATAGCTTAGAAAACATTAGTAAATTTTTCATGATTTCCAAGGGTGTATTTCTAAGCCTGTAGCTGATGAAGCCAATATATTTACATATCTGATACCAAAACTTTATTTTTTTTTACATTCATACCACACAAATGTTGAATTATCAAATAAAAATACCACAATTTTAACTTTTACACGGTTTCATCCATAAGTAAGATGGCCTTTTTGAAAAAAATTGAAAGTCTAGTGGTTGGATATATAAATACACAAGAATTGAAGGGGGCGCATGTAAATCTTCCTCAAAAAAGAAAATATTCAAAACTTCTGAATCAGTTTAGCATGCTCGTTATGCTGAGAATATTTATATTTATTGAAGTTTATTGCGAAGAAAAATAGATCTATTTATAGATGAGGGCATCACGGCCTGGACCGACGCCGATGTAATGAACGGGAATGCCGCAATCCTCTGCACATACCGACGAGCAGGCGGAGGAAGGTCCTCAAATTTTCTTATAGCAGATATATCAGATTTCCAGCCGGGCAGCACTTCGTACTCAACCTGCAGCAGATGAAGTCATGAAACAATAACGTGAGTAATACAGTTATAAAGAGTTCAGTTTCAGCATGAATTTCTTTTGGAAATTTGAGAAAACAGTATAATGTTTTCATTCAATTTATGAAGAGATTTTTCTTAGAGATTTTGCATACAATGCCCTTCTCTTATCTTAGAATCCATTAAATATTCTTTTTGCATGATGTTTAAAAGATGATTTGTGAAAGGTTCATGAAAGCGTTTTTGATGATAGAAGCAATCACTTCATATTAAACTAGTTATAATTTCTATATAAAATTTCAAGGTAAGTTTCTATAGCATGTCAATACTTTCATAAAGCCTTATTGAATTTATGTAATATGCATCACCCGTTTGGGGCAGCTTATAAGTGCGGGCGGCGTTTTCAAAACGTCGCCGTACCGTTTGGTTCGCGAGTTTCGTCAGCTTATCCGAAACCGCGTTTGAGTTTTTACACTAAACGCAGGTCACGGGTCAAACCCTGCGGCCCGCCCTCGGGCCGCGTTTCTGGATACGCAGCTTATCATGAAACGTATAAGCTGCCCCAAACGCACCATTAAGATTATATGTCTAACATAATTAGCGAGAAAATGATAAATTATGATAAAAAAATATAAAAATGTTTAGGGTATTATGTGACTATCATATGTGATATTAAACTAATTAAAAAAGATATGAAATGTTTGATATTATATGTCCATGGAAGAGGTTTATTATTTAGGAGATTTAGAATCAAAAGCGGGAGTTTGATAAGAAAAAAGAAAGCAATTGGGTGGTGGGCTTATGCCATAGTTGACACAACAAGTGAGAAGTCAATGGGTTGTAGGGATGACATCGGCGACTACCACATCGCAATGGCCGTGGAGATCAATGAAGGAGACATGAATCTTGCGATGGAGGCGTGGATCTAAGGAAAATAATGAAGGAAAAAGAAAGCAGTGAGTCATGGAAGTTGGATAGAGAATAAGGGAATGTTTACTATTTGTGAGTGTAGAAGAAAGGTGGAAGATTGATGGGGGCAAGAGGCGAATGGAGGTGGGCGAGGGGATTACACCGACAACTATTAAAATATTTTTGTTGTATTTAAAAGATTTAGATGTTAAATGAGAAATCTTAAGTGTTGGATATGTAAATTAGAATATTTGGAGTGGTATGCACGTAAATCCCTCAAATTTTAAATTTTGAACTTGAATGTTGCCTATTACAATACTCACATTCTTTGATGGAATAACCAAAAAACACAAATACAATTAAAGCGTTAAAATCATTAAGATGGAGCTAATGGTGATGCTAACTAGTCGCATACATGGATGATCTATTATTTGTCATCAAACTTAATCTAATTTTTCATATGAAGTTTGTATCCCTGCTCAAGTAACAATAGTTCAACATCTCAATGTGAAGCATGTGATATAAATGAAGCTATTTTCTCACGAAATTAACGCAACATTTGCCTTGACCACTTCCGCCAATCAGTGAAGACTAGATAATTGAAAGTAAAGTTTAGGTGTTAGATATGTACATATATAGGAATTGGATGTTAAGTATGTAAATGCCTTTATATTCAAATGACTTTGATTTTTTATTTTTTTTAGATGAGGAGTTGTTATATATGTGTATGTGTGTATGTGTGTGTGTGTTTATTAAGCTTAGAATTACACAAAATCTGTGCGGTCATGTAAATCACCTCTAAGGACTAAAAGAACTTTATATAATTCTAATACGGCAATATCTGCGCAAAAAAAGCTCACTTTAGATTTATTTTACTCGAAGCTTCAAGGTTGAAACACTTAAGGAAGGTGTCCCAAAAGATCATCAGCTTCGTCGCCAAAAAGGAGCTTCAATTAAGTTCTTTGTTCTTTTGTGCAATTTGTCATCATAGGGGTCACATCTAAGACATGCACAAATGATGTTGGCATGCTTATTTGGACGCTTCTATGCTTGTTGTAACTTATTGCCTTTGGAGTCCTCAAAGGAACTCCCTGTTGGCAATAAAAAAAGTAGCACAACTATTATTGATGTATCTTTTCGATTCTAAATCCTTGATAGATGTGCCTCTTCGTCATGGGTGTGAGAGGGAGATGGTCAAGTTTTCAGCCTATAAATAGCAGCAACCCCCAATTCGCCCTCTTCAAAGTTTTCCTCATTCATTCATTTGCATTTGTTGTACTTTCTTTTATATGATTGAGCTCCTCCTTTTTAAGGGGAAGCTTCAAAGAAAAATTTTCGTTGTCCCAAAAGAGTCTTCCTCTTAAAGAGCACCATGCCAACTTCAACAGTGTTGAAGAAAACATTCATGTTTACTACTGTTGGATACGTCACATTAAACATTAGTTTATGTGCAATTTATGTATTTTCTTTTCATTATTTGAATCATCTTAGTTGTTATTTTTGTTTTGAGGGCATAACACTTATGATGGTTTAGTAAGGTTGAAAGGTTGCATGCTGTTTCCTAGCTTTCTGCTATATTATTTGGTTGACATAATTTCAATATCAATTTAGTTTAGATTAATTTCTACAAAATATTAAGGTTATAGATTACTATTGTTTGGATTATTAGGGGATTGGGATGTTTTGGATTTTCATAGGATTTGTCAAAAGTGTTGATTGACAATAACGAGTAGAATGATTTTTGAGAATTTACTTTTTTTTATCATGAAAATTGTGAGTTACTGTAGTGGTGCTACTACGAGCTGAACCAATTTAAATGGGGGTTCATTTTGTTTTCATCAACCATTATATGTACACATCTATGTTTGACACCCCTATGTTTGATTCTACACCGAGCATCTCAAGCATATCCAAAGCCAATACTATCAAGGTATTAAATAACAAATTGACAAACTCTATTAAATGATTACTATTTAAGAGTAAACTTATTTATACTGAGTGCAAAAAATCTTACAAATGTTGGTACCACAACAACTTCCATGTTAAGTTGGCTGCTTTCTCAATTGTCTCCAGCACTATATGCACCAATCCATGTGCTGATGACTGGATAGTGTTTAGATAGCAAATCCTATATTGCACTAGCTCCATGTTAACCATAGAATATGGATAGGAGTCAAATATTTAGGTGGCAGACTGAGACCATAGCGCAAATACAATTGAGTAGAGATCGAACAAAGATGGCGTTATATGACAATGGAGTTCATAGATTCACAATATTCACCTACGCCAAACCATAGGATTATTAGAAGGACAGCCATGTTTAAGGTCTTAGACTAACAAGAACCCAATAAGAGACCTGGTCCAAAGGTTCAAACATTAAGTATGTTCATAGCGTACGGAAATAGAATGTCCAATGAACTTCCAGAGTATACAAGGATGCGGTGGAAGTTGAATCTAAGCAATGACACCTTCATTATCATTGTGTCATTATGAACATTACAGCTAGCAGGGACCTTTTTTTTTAATAAATGATAAGTGTTGTGTGAATTTAGAATACTTTTATCATGTTCACCAAGATGCACGTCAAGATTGATCAACCAAAAACCTTAACTCCTACTCCCCCAAGAATAGTCAATGCCCTCAACCACAGAGCAGCTTCCATGTGGACTACTGTCAAATGGCCCTCCTTTAAGAGCTGCTACTAGAACCACTTGAGCTTTCAATAGTCTCTACTAGAGGAGAAACTTTTCCATACGAAGTCTGGACGCAGCTCTACGTTCAAACTTCCAGTAATATGCGGCCACGTGGAGATTATTGCAGGGATTAATGCAGGGGTTATTGAAATGGAACCACGGAGGTTATTCAGGGATTATTGGAGTAAAACCGTGAAGGTTATTGAGGAGGGGGGGTGTTATTGGAGTTAACCCCCCAATAACCCTCCCAAATACCCTCCGCGGTTCCACTTTAATTTTTTTTTTGGCTGACCCGATATAACACACATGACGCCATATTACTAGAGTCTGCACGTAGAGCTGTGTACGTACTCCGTATGGAAAATTTTCTCCTACTACAGAGGGTTCATATTCTACAAGGTATTTGAAATTCTAATCTTTGACCAGGCATGATTATTGTTGATAAGGAGTGGTTAAAAGCGGATTGGGGCTCTAAAGACCTAGATAGGTTGAAGTGTGAAAAAATCATACATAACATAAGCACAAAAAATTTCTCCAACAACCCGAGGTAATAAGTGGTCCCCACAGAAGCCATTGGAGTGTTCACTATGACAATATTTGTTTTTTAGTCATAGTTGATCCCTGTATTGAATACTTAGAACCCTATGTGAACGCCTCGGTGTTGGCATATTTGACGGCCTTCTCCAACATGTCAGGAACGAATTAGAATATACTTTTTTGACTATGAACTCATCTATTAATACTTACATATATTCGCAACAAAAAGGGGCAAGTAGACAATTCAAGAATTTCTTAGTTCAATTAGGTAAAGTATGTCCAAAAAGATTTGCTTTACACATCTTAAGCAAAGGAGGTTTTAGAAATTCCTCTTTTAGCTTCTATAAGCTCAATAATTGAGCAAGTAATTGTTTTCTAACTTATTTATATTATGTGATGTTCGAAGGGCATTGTCCATCAAAGTTATCATAAGGATTGTGCATGTGAGCGCGTCAAAGATTGCGTAAAAGGTCGTCATAGCATCAAACCAGACAAGACGTTCCAAAGGGTTAATTAAATCTTAATAGGAGTCCGGTTAAAGAATTTTCAACATTTGAAGCAAGATGACCTCAATAATATCCATTGTAAAAAACAATATAAAGGGAAACACCATAGTCACACACAAGCAATATTTGTCTCCCTATACAAAAAGATTTTCATAAAAAATGACTCGATCTCTTGTTCTAAATGATAGGCTACAAAAGAATTGCCTCTCAAATAGCGCTAATGTTAACATTTGCAAGCTACAAGTGCTAAGAAATGGTATCCCTGATCATTGTTTCCCTCTTGAATCTCAAATATATGAGCAACCCTTAGTTGGCCATCACAACCTTTCTTATGGCATCAAACTCTACACTCAAGCAATAAAAAATGTTGATGTTCAATGGAAAAACAACAAACTAGATTGATTTGAGAGTAAGTCATAAAGGAAAATGTAAAAGAGAAAATAAAGCTAATGGACTTCACTGAGGTTTGAGTTGCAAAGCTTTAGTTGTTACCAACATACTAAAAAAATGGCATCAAGCTCCAACATCTGCAAGTCCTTTACATAATTCTGAAAGGATGATCCCTTCATGGATGAGAGCTTATTTCAATGATTTTTTTTTACTCAAAGCTTCAAGATGCATTGCTGCTACATGCATATTTAATGTTTCTAAAAAATCATCTACTTCAACCTAAATAAGGAGATTCAAATTTATCACCTTAAATATCACATATATTATGTCATTAATATGCTAGTGTGTTTATTTTGTTGGTGACAACTTCAATTTTTTTACACAAGCTGAATGTTTTGGTTGAGTGTTGCAAAAGTTTACCATCTCAACATAGCACCATATGTCCTCAACCAACTCTTGGCCAATTTTTGGTGCTTTAGATCCCATCCTTCATTTGAGTCAAGTTTAGCATTCCACAATATATAAAAGGGTTTGAAGTGTTGTTTGACAGCCGCAGTCCGGAAGACAATAACTTTTCCAACTACATAACTTTCCAAGAATTTCTTATTTTGCCTAAAGGCACTTGAGGAACTCGTTCAAGAATGTTCCTAAAGTATCAACCCGAATGATTGTTCGAAATGATAATCTAGTTAAGCAATGGAGCAACAAAATAAATCATAATCTTGTTTTTGGCCTGTCTTATCTAACTTGAGTTTATCTTATAACTCAGTCCCACTTTTCATTTTCAGCTAGAGTTGATCCATCCATTCATGCGAGCAGTAGTAGCCATTAATTTGGGCTTTCTCGTTTGGATTGTACTAGCACTAAAAATAGTAGATTGTGAGAAATAAACTGTGGCTTGTAAAAAGTTACAAGTCCCAAGAGGTGGTTATTAACTAACCAAAACCAGTGATTGAGGCAAAACACATGTTATTAGACGCTAGTGATAATCCATTTCTTGTGCCCAATTTTTGGAACTCGATTTGCATTATGTAGTAGTCATGCCCATCCATTAGTAATAGCTCCAAGCAATTGTCCTTAAGATCCCATCTTCTAGTAAGCAAAAAATTAAAAATTAGTCCCACAATTGATCACATCCATTTATGATAGCATTTCCTTGTATGACCGTCAACATCAGTTGAATCTCTAAGCACATAACTTCTTGTTAGACCCTTCTTAGTTCTACCACGCCAATAACTCTTAATTATATTTTAAAAGAAGAAAATATTGGTATCCACTGGAGATTAAAATTTATTTTTCTTTACTTATTTTTATTATTTCAAAAATAAAAATCAAACCTAATCACATTCATGATAACATAAACTTAAAAATTGGCTTTTAGGAATGACACAAATGCACGATGAAAAATGCAAGATTATTTCATGAATATGAATAGAGTTCCTGGGCGAGCCAAGAGACCAGTTTTGACCTAACTTTTAGGTAGCATGAATAAGAAAAAAGAAATGCAAGTCGAATCATACAAAATGGAGCCCCAATGTGAATTGAGCTAGGCATAGTAGTGAGAAATAAACTTACAACAAGTCAAATCTTAAAAAAAAACAGCTCATTTATTGTTTTGCTACTTTATTTGGAGTCTCATTTGATTATGATAAATATATATACAATAAAATATGATTACTGCTTACATATTGATTTATTGATTCGTTAATTTTATTTTTTTACACCCACAATTCTTTTTTTTTTTCTTTTCACTTGTTTTAAAATGACAATTCATCCTTGAAATTCAAATACAATTGTTGTACAGATATACCTGAAATTCAAAATATCCATATCAATATAGGCCAGGGATCTTTTTTTTCCTTTGGTTTGTTAGGATGCCTTATCTTGGAAATTACATTGGAAATAATTTATTAACCAATTGATAGAAGTTGGAAGTAATTTTATGCACACAAAACTTCTATATTTCATCAAAATACCGTACTGATGAACAAAGTTTATTCCATTAGTATAAAGTTCTTGACTTCTTCCGAGTGCAAGGAATTAATAAAATTGTGCTCAAGATAGATGAGAACCAGGCAACCAAGTTGAGAGCAATATATAAATAGATGGACCCCCATCAACCAAAAAACTTACGCTAACCAGAAGGGCCACTATTACTCTACAATTATAAGAGCTACTGCTAATATTATTTTAGAAACTTAGCTCGTGTCAATCACAATGTGCACCTAATAACCCACCCCTTCAATAAACTGTGCCAGCCAATTCAACTCATTAACTTCTACGTTTTACAATAGATGAAAAGACTTTTAACTATCCATCCAAGAGAAATGTAAAATTGCAACTAAGAATGTTTTCATGTAAAATAAGGTTAAAAACTGCAAACTAGAAAATAAAACCAGAAACTCCCGTTTTAAAAAAAAGCATAACATTTAAAATTAAGTACCTCTATCTGTTCCAAAGCTTGAAGGTCTGCAGGAAACGATTCATATATCTTTCCACCAATTTGCTTGTAAGCAACACCTAACTTTATCTCTGAAAAGCCCGAGAGGACGTCCAGCTTGGTTAGATTAAAGGAAGTTAGACCATTGATCTGACAGCAATATTTCAATGCAACAATATCAATCCATCCACAGCGCCGAGGACGACCAGTAGTTGTTCCAAACTCCATTCCAGCTTTCCTGAGCACATCACCTTCTTTTCCTAAGATCTCAGTTGGGAAAGGACCAGATCCCACTCTAGTAGTATAAGCTTTTACCTGCACAAAAATACAAAAATGGCTGAGTAGAAAAATCAAGGACCTTTTACATATATACCATCCAATTCTTATGTATTTACTTATCTAACACCTATACTTTCATTTTTACATTTATACCACCCAAAACTTTCATATCACATCAAAATACCGCCATTTCACCTTTTAAAAAGTGAAATACACATTTTCATGTGGAGGGAAGGTGGCATGTATACAAAAATAGAAGTTTAGGTGTTAGATGTGTAAATACATAAGAATTGAGTGGTATGTATGTAAATCTTCCAAAAACCAATTGACCTAAAGACATGAAATAAGAATGTACTCACGACTCCAACCAAGTCACCAAGGAACCTAGGAGGTATGCCAAGTCCAGTACAGATCCCGCCAGCCGAAGGACTCGAAGAGGTGACAAATGGGTAAGTTCCGAAATCAATATCAAGCATGGTAGCCTGACCACCCTCAACCAAAACTTTTTTCTTCTGACGAATAGATTCGTGCACAACATGAACGGTATCAGCAATGAAGGGCTCCAAACGCTCGGCAAACTTTGTATATCTATTTACCTCTTCTTTCAGCGCATCTGTGCTGTAATTAAATCTCGGGAAACGTGCGGCCTCATCCCTCATTAGAATCTCAAGCTTCTGACGAAATGTATCCATGTGCCTCAAATCAGAAACCCTTATACCGTTGCGGATAACTTTGCTAGAATAACAAGGTCCAATTCCTCTCTTGGTCGTTCCGATAAAAGAATGTCCCAGCTCTTCTTCTCTAAGTCCGTCAACAACTTGATGGAAATCAAATAATAAGTGTGCGCGATCGGAAACCAATATTCGTCCCTCACAAGAGACGCCGTTAGCCTCCAGGCCATCAATCTCATTGAATAGTCCGGGAACGTGAACTACAACTCCGTTACCTATGACACATAAGCTTTTCGTGTTCAGGATACCTGAAGGCACGAGGTGGAGAGCAAATTTCTTTCCATCAGCATTATAAATGGTGTGCCCAGCATTCGATCCACCCTGAAAGCAATAAGAGCAGCCCTTAAACTGTACATCCAAACAATGGGATAACAATGTATAAAACTTAGTGGTAGGTGTGACAGTAAACCACAACAAAAGTTCAAAAAGTTGCTGTTCAAAGTTGGTAATTAACCAAAATTTCTGATTTTGTCACACTTTCTGTCAAACTTAATAAGAAATGAGATCAAATAATTTATTTTGGTCGTCCCTAAATATTGCTGTCAAAGATAATTTGAATTAATTATATATGGGTTATAGGAACCTTCTTCTGTGATTTTGAAATTCTGCAGAACTAACAGAATGGCATCAAAACATAAATCAATTTTACCAAAGATTTGAAACAACCTTAACTTCCCATTATGAATGCATACGCGCTCCATAACCAAATAGAAAGATAGATGCTCTCCTGAATGATGCTCTGCATATAAGTTCACTAGTAGTAGTAGTAGTAGTGTTTGTGTGTTCATACTCGATCAAAATTTTACAACTTTATCGTTGGGATTGCGATAATAATAAATAAAGGATGTTCGAAACTCCATATAAATAGCAAATTTGAGTTCAAATAAAGAGAGGGGAATACATATTGGGAACACTTATCTCATTCCTTCATTCATGTCTATTTTCTCCTCAATATGAGTATTTACATAGTACAAGAAATGCTAATTCCTCAACAGTATAAATAATTGACTACTCATATTAATCTAATACAAGTAATAATCATCTCACATCCTCGTTGCACTATCATTACCTAACCCTCCAGCACAAGGCTTCGAGGTCGAGTAACTCATGAAAAGAATTGTGGGGAAAAAATATTGATATTCAATACTAGAAGAGGTGTTGTTAATGATCATATTTTCTCCATAGAAATGCTTCTTGGGATGTAACAAAGTTTTACTTCCAATCTAGAACAACAACTTTACTTTGACTAATCACAATACCAATTTCTTGGATCAATATCAACGACCTAGAATCCCAAGGTACTGTGAATGCCTAGGACATCTTAAAGATAATGATAAAGAATGAAACTAGTTGATAATAAATGAAGTCGACAAATGTAGAACTTGCCTTCATCAAGGCTAGACAATAATGAGAAAGGCTGATATTTGAAGATCGACTGATTGCAAGAAGAAAATGTACAGCAATATCTGTTGTGGTTTACCCTGCAATTGATAAAAAATGACGATGAAGATGATTGTGAACAAAAATGAAAAGAGAATTGGGTTTGGGCAGATAGATGCATTCCTTGATCCAAATAAATGCTATATGCGGAATAAAAGTTAAAGGATGATGAGGGAAAACAAATTAAAATAATAAGAACACCATGATCACAACTCCATTGTTGAGATCCATCACGATTAAAGACAATTAAAGAGGGCAAAAAACTCTAAATAAACAACGAATTTGAGTTCGTTGGCAACTCCATAAATCAAATAAGGCATAAAAAGAGAAGGAAATACAAATTTGGGATGAGTTACCTTTCTTTCATTCGTGTCTAATTCCACCTTAATGAGGATATGTAAAGAATAGGAGAATTACTAATTCCTTGCCACTGACATTTAGTAAATTAACTACTTTTATTAAACTGATACAATAACTAAGCATTTCACATCCTCATTACCCAATCACAAAACTACTGCCTTTTCTTAAGAAACAGATTCAGATATTAAATAAAACTTATTAAGAGAATGTGGCACTAGACTCATTCTCATGCATGATAAAAAATTCATTATAAAACAACCATAGAATACAGAACTAAAAACAAATACTATATTTGTAAAAGAACTGTAATTTAAGAATAAACGATGAAAAAACTCCCTCATAGAAAATATTATAGCATAAAAGATGCCAGTTTAATGAACTGCTTTAGAAACACAAGATGCGCATAGCAGATCCCATGGCACTTTAACAAAACAGAATAAACAAAAAGTAAAAAAAAAAATCATTTAAATCAATAGATGATCCCTGTTTATCAGCAAAAGTTGAAACTTGAACATATATACAAACAGCTTCTTAAACACAAAACACAAAATCCAGTGCTCCATCTTCCTTGGGCGGCAAATTACAGACCAGGCAAAAAAAGGAAGGAGAACCCTAACCTGGCATCTAGCCACAATATCAAAGTGTTCGGCCAGAATATCGACAAGCTTGCCTTTGCCCTCATCACCCCATTGGCAACCCAGCACACCGGTGACTTGACTCAAAGACCCTAGCCGATCAAGGCTGTCGCCTTTCTCCACTTCCACCGCTGCCATAGTTGCCGCCAAGCGCCACTGTGAGGAACGTGCATGAGAAAACGCCGAGGCCCTCTCCTCCGAACCGATCCCCGTGCACGAGACTGCCGGCGGCGATGTCGCCGCAATCGAGGGACGATTTCCTCCATTGCCGCTCTTTCTGGAGAAGGAGGTGAGAGCGGAGTCGAGGCGAAGAGAGCAGATGCTCATGGCTTCACGCGCTCTTAGAGAAGGAAATGAAAAGGGGCGGCGGCCTTGAAGTTGAAGAAGGGAATGGGAACCCGAAGGAAAGAGATAAATGGAACGCGAATGAATATGTTTTCTTTCTGCATTTTATCTGAACAGTGGTTTAAAGTTTTGAACTAAAACATAACATAAAAGAAACGCACAACCAACCATTGTAATGATCATGAATTAATGACATATATGTCAAACGAATTATAAATAAACTAGCAATTTAATAGAAGCATTACTTTCTGCATGCAATCAAAGAGTCCACAAAAATTTGAAAGCTACCAAGCGGCTCAAGAAGATTGTCCTAAAATCGAGACATCATGTTACAAGAATATGATTTAAATCTATTATCCAACGACCGACAGCTCAGTTAGAGTCATCCGACATATTATGACGATGGATTCAATCGGTGGGTCGCGCCTATAATTTCGAACAGCCTAAACTCTTCAGAAGGGCGCTTGATCGACCAGCATTTTACTTCGACAGGGCATGATTGTCACTTGATCAGTCACCTTGATCGACTGAACTCAAGCGTATTGACCAACTAATTATGTTGAATTTGAATTCAAATTGTAATATAGGTTTGATAAACATCATCACGATTAAATTGCATTAAGAATGATTTTCATCGTTGTTCTCTTCTTTCTGATATTAAACAAACAAGTCTCTATAAATAAGAGTAAAAGAATGAATAAAGGGACATATATTTGTCTCTCCACAAGGACTTCCTCAATTACTTTTACTCCCTCTCTTATTCATGTTCACCCGACTCTAACTCTCTAAACATATTTCTACAAAGGATAATTTAGGATTAACATCTTAAAAGGTTGTGCGGTGAGGGTGTACATACACCGGATGAGACACGAGGCCAACTATGAAGAGAATCCCTACTAAGGGTAATAACACCCAGCTCTAATTCTCCGAGCATATTTCCACAGAGGATAATTTAGGATTAACATCTTAAAAGGTTGTGCGGTGGTGGACATACCCCGGATGAGACACGAGGCCAACTACGAAGGAGAATCCCTACTAAGGGTAATAACACCCGGCTGTAATTCTCTAAGCATATTTCCACAGAGGATAATTTAGGATTAACATCTTAAAAGGTTGTGCGGTGAGGGTGGATATACCCCGGTTGAGAAACGAGGCCAACTACGAAGGAGAATCCCTACTAAAGGTAATAACGCCCTTGGAGTTCAACAGGGAGATGGTGCATCGAGACATACAAGAAGAGGTCCATGCATTGCGAACGCAAATAATGGACTAGTTTGAGCCTCTTCAGGCGGTCATGATCTTGCAAAACGCACGACCGCTGCTCATGGAGGGAGAGTCTCGGGCAACCCGCCCCAAGAGGGCCTCCCTCGACAATCTGACAACACCCCACGGTTGGGCCGGTCGTTGACTAACAAAAGGACCAGAAGATTCCCATCTGACAGATAGTGTCGCATTTACGCCAACAATCCCACATCAAGTGGACACAGTGGGAATGCTTGATCGGTCGATAATTAACAACGCCTTCTCCCGAATGATCCTAGAAACAATAACCCAAGCAATGCTTAGGATTCTTCACTTCTATCACTATAAAGGGAAGAGTGGCTCGACCGACAACCTCGCTTCTTTTGAATCGACGGTCAGAGTCTTGCATATCAATGACGTTATGAAGTATAGGTTGTTTCAGACAGCGTTGAAAGAAGTCGCGGTCTGATGGTTCAATTGCCTAACAGACGGGGTCATCCCGTCGTTCCTTGAATTTTGAAAGTTCTTTTAGGCGCACTATGCTGACATATAAAAATCGAGGAAGGACACTCAAACCCTACTTCAGATCAGAGAATGGAAGATCAAAAGTCTGCAGGCTTATATCACTCGTTTCTAAAAGTTCATGCTAGAGGAAAAGAATTAAGAGCCCCTTATTGCTCGGACCGCCCTGAAACAAAGAATCGGCTACAAGGGATTCAGGTAAGACCTGACCTTCGCGAAGGTCTTGGAAATAAAAAATGGCCACATCGCCACTAAAGATGACCTTATGGAATACTCATAAATAAAACCAAAGGTATCCGACCACCAGCCACAAAAGTATATGGATCAAGATGACGGTAGAAGGCCAAAGAGTGACCGAGCCCTTGATTGTCGATTGAACGGTGACCAAGACAGCTAGAAGAACAGCTGAAGCCAGTTGTGATGCCCCTCCAATTAGCGTCCATCCCGGTAATTTGAGCGGTTGCATGTATACCAGGAGATGCAAGCTTTGACACCCTTGAATGTGTCGATGATCCAACTAGTCCAGACCATTCAAAATAGTGATTACTTCAATAAAGCCCCTCCGTTGAAGATCACACCAACACCGTGCAATCCAAATAAATATTGTACCTACCATTGAGATCGCAGACATAACACGGAGGAATGTCGACACCTCAACAGTTTTTTTAGAGGAGCTCATCCGGGGCGGAAAGTTGAAAGAGTTCGTCATCGTTGAAGTTCAAGCACAATGGCAAAGAATTGCCCCAGTAGAGAGTCTCGTAGATGGACCTGTTCAAGTGAATGAAGGCTGGGATTGTTTCGACTATCTTTAGCGGAGGTGGAGGGTTATCCCAATCACATAAGAGCACCAGTCATGAGAAAGTATGTTCCGTCAACTCTTACACTCGAGCTCACCCTACAATCACCTTTACAGATGCAGATCTCCCCCAAAGGAAAACTCACACAATGAGGCAATTGTTGTCACGCCATCATAAACAATTAACAAGTGAGCAAGATCCTAGTCGACGCCAGGAGTTCAGTTAATATCATGTTAAAAACAATATTTGACAAAATGAGACTCAAAACTGACCGATTTACGACACCGGCCAGCTCGTTATTCAGTTTCTCAAGCGAGAGGAAAAAAACCCTGGGCGTGATTGTGTTGCATTTCTGATAGGGAGAACAACAAAAACAATTCACTCACCGAGAGCTATTTGGTGCTGCAATCCCTGTCAACCTACAATGCGATCTTTGGACGACTATTTTTGAACAACTATTAAGCAATGTCTTCGACTTACCACATGGCTATAAAATTCTTTGGATACTGGAAGATAATCATAGCTTGAGGGAACTTGAAGCAATCCAGAAGTTGTTATCTTCGGGCGGTCACCAGTGTCGACCAGGAACCACTTCACATTTAAATTCAAAAGAAGGGAGATCTCGAGACCGTCCTCCGGGTGCACGCAACCAGTGAGAATGAGCCTGGTAAGATTTTCTTAATTAGTGAGAACTTTGATGCGGGACACAAAAATTTACTGATCCCGACCCTCTACACGCACCAAAACATATTTGGCTATATAGCTAGGGAGATGACTGGAGTTCAAGTCGATGTCGTGTGCCACTAGCTCAATATTAGCCATTTCACTTGACCATTACAACAAACGCTTGATCGCGCAAGGGTGTTGGTTGAATCAATAGTAGCACAAGTACAAAAACTAGAAGAGACGAGCTACATCAGGTAGGTGCAATACCTAACTGGCTCTCAAACATCGTAATGGTTCAGAAGCCCAACAACAAATTGAGGATGTGTGTCGACTTCCCGAACCTCAATGTCTCATGTTCTAAAGACACCTACCCCCTACCCCCTACCAAGGATCAACACTCTGGTTGATTCTGTGGTCGGCTAGTCTGTCACGAGTTTTCTCGAAGCCTTCTCAAAATCTCACCAATTAAAGATGCATATGGCTGACATAGAGAAAACTGCTTTTACTACTGGGCAAGGAGTTTTTTGCTTTGATGTAATGATTTTTGAGCTAAAAAATGTCGGGGTGACCTATGAACGCCTCATGAATAATTTTTTTTTTTAATTAGAAAAAAAAATGTTGAGGTGTATGTGGATGATTTACTATTAAAATTTAGATTAACCAAGTAACATATAGAAAATCTAAAAGATACATTTGAAACCCATAAAAATATAATATGAAGTTAATCCTTTGAAGTGCACCTTTGAAGCATCGATCGACAGATTAATTGTAGATGGGTTGAAAGCCAATATAGAAAAGATTTGGGCAATCTTAAATATGTCTTCCCCTCGAAATGCCAAAGAAATATAAAGGTTATCCGGACGTCTAGTAGAACTCGACCGCTTCAATTCAATGTCTGGCGACAAATGTGCGTCATTCCTCATAGCTCTTAGGAAAAAAACGGCACTTTGAATGGACAACCAATTGCAAATCAGTGTTCAGAGACCTTAAAAAACCCCTAGCATTGCCACTGCTACTCCAAAGCCTGAAGCAAGAAGACGAATTATCGTTATACCTTGGGGTTGGGTGAAAAGGTGGCCAGCTCCGCACTAGTCAAAGAAGAAACAAAAAATAATTTCTAATGCATTACACCAGTCGAGTCTCTCCGAGCCACCGAAACCAGGTACATGTTATGGGGAAATTAACACTTGCATTAATTATTTCTTCTCGCGAGCTCATACTGTATTTTAAGACACATCTGATTTGAGTCATCATCCCCTAAATTTTGTACTTACTCAACCTAAACATTCAAGTCGATTACTGAAGTGGGTGGTGAAACTTAATGATTTCAACATCAAGAACGTCCTCCAGACAACTATCAAGGTGCAGTCGATCACCGATTTTTTTGGAAGACTTCTCTGAAGCAGAAGAACCAACCAAAGGAGACCCGACCCTCGACAAGTCTTGGGTCTTACACGTCGATAAAGCATCCAATCAAGCAACCGTTAGACTGGGATTGATGTTGAGCAGCTCAGTCGGATAACATATATATCAGTATGTCACAATGGAGTTTGAAGTTACAAATAACCAAGCAGCGTGCGAAGCACTCATTGTCAGGTTTTGCTAGTCATATGAAATTGACACTCGAGATTTGTTGGTAAAATCAGGCTCCTTATTGGTAGTCAATGAAGCAACGGAGAATTCGGGCCTGAGACGGGCTATTGACCAAATATATCGCCAATACGCAAAAGGAAATAGAAATATTCAATAGCCTTTGTATAGAACATGTGGGTCACGAAGAAAACTACGTCGCCAATATTCTAGCCAAACACATTTGTTTCGGTGAGGCTTCACAAAGGCTCGTTAAATCGACAGTCGAGGAACCAGAGGTGATTGAGGTATCTA